AACTATTAAATTCCTTTATAATGATTTCTCGTTAGAATAAAATATTCGCGTCAAATCTGCTCTAATTGTTAATTCATCTTGTGAATTAACCACTTTTAACATAGTTTATTTCTTATTGTTCTGCAAGATTTCCCACTTGGAGAAAATGAAGGCTCAATGGTTTTATATTCTGTAAAATGCTATTATAAGCTTGTTTGTTAGAATTTTTCACTTAATAAAAGGCTGCCGTATTTTATTACATATAAGTAAAGAATAATTTAGCCATTATTATTTGAAACTATGATGTTTAGCTAAATTTTTATTGAAAATATTTTAGGATGTCTAAAATCATAATCATAAACCAAAGAACAAGTTTTCTGGCTATTTTAAATATTATTTAGGGATATTTAATAACTTTAACATGCCACACCATCAATATCCAGGCGATGTAAATATTATTGGTCAAACAAAATATTTTACCGTAAAGTCTTGAAAGATAGCACCCTCTTTCACAATATGATCGACATTCAATTTGAGCATAAAATTAACCAAAAAAGGTAACGAGATTATTACACAAAATATATTAAAATTATAACGAATGAAAAAAATTTATTAGCCTCATTTCTTCCATGAACTTTTTGCAACTTTAATTACTGTCTTTTTTTGAAATATTGTATATGATGATTTAATATTGCTGTTTAATTTTCTGTAGGAATTTTTTTGTTTATCCTGTAAAACATATCCTTATTGCCTTTTTAGAAGGTGCTATCTTTCGGGGGTGATATCTTTCCAGACTTTACGGTTAATGTTTAGTGTAATAATAAGTCATAATTTTTATTTAAAAAAAAGATCAATTTAGTTACACAACTGCCAACTTTAATTAGAAAAACAATGCAGTTAATTATAAGATAATCTTTTGAATCTTAAAATAATGATTTTTTTTATTTTATAAATAAGCAACGTTTTTTCTTTAAAAATGGATTTTTTTTTAAAAATTATTTCTCAAGAAAAAAAAAAAAAAAAACAACTACAATACAATTAATAAAAATACAATAAAATGGCAACAACTAACGGTCATAGCGATAAAAATAAGGCTTTGCACACAAATAGTAATGGTAGTAACCACAATCCCATCAACAATAACAACGCAATAACTAATCCATATACACCAAGATATGCTGATTTATTAAGTAGAATTAGTAATTTTTCCATTATCGAATCAACTCTTAGGGGTTAGTTTTAATTATTATTATTATTAACATTGATATTGTTATTATTGTTATTATTGTTATTAATATTAATTCGTCATTATTGTTATTAATTATCATTTCATTTAGAGGGAGAACAATTTGCGAATGCATTTTTTGATACAGCGAAAAAAATAGAAATCGCTAAATCATTAGATGCATTTGGAGTAGAATATATCGAATTAACATCACCGGCTGCATCTGAACAATCAAGACAAGATTGTCAAGTAATTTGTAATTTAGGATTGAAGGCAAAAATATTAACTCATATACGGTGTCATATGGATGATGCTAAAATTGCTGTTGAAACAGGTAAACTAATTATTAAAAATTTATTATAAAAACATGCAAATAATTAATCAAATGATTTTTTTGTAAAAAGGCGTTGATGGAGTTGATGTGGTAATTGGTACTTCATCATATCTAAGAGAATTTAGTCATGGTAAAGATATGGATTATATTACAGAGAAGGCAACTGAGGTGATTCAATTTGTTAAATCCAAAGGAATTGAAGTTAGATTTTCATCAGAAGATTCATTTCGTAGCGATCTAGTAGATTTATTGAGCATTTATCGAGCAGTGGATAAATTGGGTGTTAATAGAGTCGGCATAGCTGATACAGTTGGTTGTGCAAATCCAAGACAAGTGTATGAATTAGTTAGAACTCTCAGAGGTGTTGTTTCTTGTGATATAGAATGCCACTTTCATAATGACACTGGATGTGCTATTGCTAATGCTTATGCTGGTAATTAAAGAAAAAAGACATTGTAGTTGTAATAAAAATTATAATCAGTTATTTGATTTATCACATATTTTAACATATTTTATTTTTTTTCTTCCTCTCTTCCAAAAATTCATTTGATCAATAGCACTTGAAGCAGGAGCAACGCATATTGACACATCAGTTTTAGGTATAGGAGAACGTAATGGTATAACACCGCTTGGAGGCTTGATTGCAAGAATGTATACAGCAAACAAAGATTATATTAAATCCAAATATAAATTACACATGTTAAGAGATGTAGAAAACTTGGTAGCCGATTCAGTTGGTGTGCAAGTTCCGTTTAATAATTACATTACTGGATATTGTGCTTTTACTCACAAGGCTGGTATACATGCTAAAGCAATATTAAATAATCCAAGCACTTATGAAATTTTGAAACCTGAAGATTTTGGGTATGTTATTATGCAATTTTATAGTTTATTATTAAATGAATATGTCTATAACTGTTAATATATGTTTATCATTTTATTATTACTTTATTAATACGAAGTAATCTTACTGACATGCTGCTTTTTTCTTTTAAAAAAATGTATTATATAGAATGACTAGATATGTATCAATTGGACATCGGCTAACTGGTTGGAATGCAGTAAAGAATCGTGTAGAACAATTAGATTTAAGTTTAACAGATGAACAAATTAAAAAAGTTACAACTAAAATTAAAGAATTGGCAGATATTAGACCTCAAAGTATGGAAGACGTAGATAATTTATTAAGAAATTATCACCATGTTGTAACTACTGGTGATCAATCCAAAGTAGATAGTTTCTTATCAACTACTGCTACTGTTGTTAATATTAGTTAATTAATCTTTTTGGGAGAGAAAACGGGATAAAAAATGAGAGAGAAAAAAAAGGAACCATTTTTAAAATTTTTAATTAAATGCTTCCACCTCTGATTTTTTTGCTTGGTAATTATTATTAGCTAATTTTTTTTTTCATTTTGTATATATAATTAATTAATTAATTAATAAAAAAGTATTATCATAATAAATTTTTTTGCGAAATTTTATTTTTTTGGATAAATAAGTATTTGCTTATAAGAAAATTGGAAGATCGTGGGCCAATTAATCTATTAGCTCTGTATTGCCATAATATTGATATATTAAAAATGAATTGAGAGGAGGAAAACACACGCTAATAGATAATGTTTAATACTTGATAAATAATTGATATTTTGACGTTTTGTCTTTTATTTTTCAACTTTAAATCACCAGATGTGTCAAAGATTTTGTTCGCATGATAACTACAGTGCAGATCATCTATAATCATTGATTGCTTATAGAAAGCAAGATAACGTAGCTTGTTAGCACAATTCGAGCAATTATATATTCATTTCCCTGGCTTTCCTTGATAACAAGGCTTGCTAAGATATATTGCATAAATAAATATTTCCCTTTAAATTCGTACTAATCTTAATTTAGAAGTAAGCAAATTATCCACTCGAACATATCTTACAATAGTGGTGCGTTTTGGATTCCATGCAATTTTTTTATTGTGTATTTTAAATATAATTAATTATATATCTTTAATAAAACAAACATGACTTAGCTATTTGTATGTGAATGCCTCCATCCATCAAATATTCATGATGGTCATGATTATTATTCAATATAATTGACATAACAAACAATTGCATCACCCAGGTAATAAATAATATCAAGACCATGCATAAATGAGATTTTTTAAGGAACATGATTTCGAAACAATAATGTGCGTCTACCCGGATCTCTGGAGTTCATAAATAGGGAGGATCAAAAATAAATTTTCCCTTCCTATTGTATAGTTCTTTATGAATAGAATAATAAATCTGATGTTGTTCACAGGTGTCAGATTTAGTAAAAATTTTCCTATCACAAACATGCAAGACCGTGCAATTAGCACAATTCAGCACCATGGAAATTTTCTCCCACAGGTGAAACCGACTTAAACATGTTGGAAGGCTTTGGAAAAAACTTTTCTCTATCTTCCCCTCAGACCAGGCTCAGCATTGATCACTGATAGCTGGTGCTTGTGCGGTGATTTCTTTGTGTTATCCCCCTCTAGAATAAAGTTGGTGTCTACAACTGGTTTGAAAATTCTCCAACCTGGGTTGTTTTCCCTGAATTTAGGCACACCAACTCACCAACAACCCTACCCCCATTTAAATAACAAGTTCAGTTGGTCAAATAAAAATTTAGAGAAACGGAAAACTTGTAAATGATTAATTTGTACATAACATACCAAAAAAAATCCAAACCATTTATTTTACAACTTTCTCCTAACACCAGAGCCCAAACACAATTTCAAGGTCACCAATCCACTCTGAATTGCAACCTCCTGTGCTGCAGATTCTCTTAATATTCCTCCAGAATTGTGACTTAGTCACAGAGCCATCCTAGAGGCAGGATCGTTGCAGGCGACTTGTCAGCAAACACTGGCAGCAGCCTTCTCTGGTCTGGGTACTGTGAAGATTAGTGAAAGCGTCATTGACAATTGATGCAGTCTCAGTAAACTTCAGGGCCTTGCGCCCCTCCCTGGAATTCAGTTACATCATTGTATAATTGGGGGCACCGTGGTCAGATTAGCCTTATGCGCATGAGGAATATAAGAGAATGATTGTATGGTGTTCAAGGTAAGTGTGCGTGCTTCAACGATTGTCAAATTTCTGATAATCAAACGTCATGTATCATATTTGAATTGTTTCATATTCAATGGTGTGCTGCCTTGACATCTTGTAATTAATTATAATAAGTATTAATAATATTAATATTGATTATGAAAAGCCAAATACCAATTGTTTACCATCTTGATGAGAATCTTATAATTACTCAGCAAAATCTGTTCTGCATTTTGATTCCAATAATATTCATTTATATAAAATAAAGACACCACATTATATCAATACAAATAAAAAAAAGTTACCTCTGGTTAGTTATTAGCTCTTCTTCTTTAGGAGAACCAATCATGCTAAACAACCTTCACGCCTTTTATATGACTACCGCCATAATCTTAGTCAGTCATTAACATTATTTTGCCATAACGCAACTCTTTTGTTGAGCTGTAATGTTTATTTTGTTCTAAACCAAGTATTTTTTCAATATTTTTAATTTCTTTATCATTAACATGTTCTATTGAAGCCTCATGAACGTTTATAAGATTCCCACATAGTGTATACACACCCCAAAAGTCATGACCTATTATATCAAATCCACACAGAGCAAACTGCTTAGCATAATCTCCTTCTGTCAGTGAAAATAAATTGTTTTCAAAAAAAAAATCACCCTTTTTACAACACCAAGTACCAATAATAATAAATTTATTCTTGAGTTTCTTTTTAACTTTTTTTCAACAAAATTTTCTCTTCAACCCATTTAAAAACAAAAAGTTCTTGTGTAAAAAAAAGAATTCTCTTCAACTCATCTACATTATAAAATACAAAAATTCCAGATAAGCACAAAGATCGAAAAAGAAAAAAACAATTTGAAGGAAAAAACGCATAAGTATTGTTTATTGTAGAATGGTGGTAGCAGTTATCGCACCACTCGTCACTCTAGTTTATCATAAGAATGGTGGTTATTGCTACTCGTCGTCACTCTAGTTAACTGTTAATGTCTTTTTATATCTAATTAGTATAACTACTACTTCTATTACCAATCCCTATAAAAAGTTTGCATACGGAAATTCCGTATGAATTATAATTTTTATTGCTATGAAATGATTATTATAAAAGATACGGAATTATTC